AATGACATAACTAAGTGAAACCGTATCATCAGAGCATGCGATATGTGGCGTAGGTGGTGGAGGAGAGTTTCAGGTTTTTTGAAGGCAAATTCTTTACGTACGAAGGGACCTAAATGTTTGGCGTTGCAGATGGCGGAGAAGGCGAGGAGTTTATTAGTGGCATACTGAGACCTCTGACGGCGAGTACCTGATCGGTGGCGATTTGAGTATGAATATTCCAAACCTACTGCTGAGAATGTTGTGGGGATGCCCATGTTCTGGTTCTATATACTAGGTAGAAATCAAAAGATATTGCTATCGAGATCTTCATCTCCATCAAGTGTGAGATAGGTTTGGGAAACCTAAACCCAATCAACATTCCCAATGGTGCCAATGCATTCTTCGTCAATTTCACAATGATTGAACTTGAATTACCAAGACCATCCACTCAAGCCAATCGACGATAGCCTCTCAGAGAAATCTCTTGAAATGAACTCTTGAAGCAAATAAGAAGTTTCGGCATATCTTGCTCTATAGCAAGGGAGCTATAGCAGATAAAGTTCTTGAAAAGCAAAAGTTTCTAGGGCTTTCTCTGTTCTATTACTATTAGAAGCGTGTAAGAAGTTTTGGCATATCTTGCACTGTAGCAAGGGACCTACAGTAGATAAAGTTTTTGAAAAGTGGAAGAAAGTTTCTAGGGTCTTCTCTATTCTATATTACATTGGTTTATGCAATTTTCTGCAATTAACAAAGTCGTCGGTGTTAGGCCTTCTAGATCATCTTTTTATTTGGTTTAATGTTTTATATGCTTAGAAGTTGTTCATATTACGGTTTTTGATTGAAGAATGACAGGGTTGATTTGGTTTAATTAAAGGATGAACATTGTTCCACACACCGGACATGAAGATGTTAGCAGTGGAAATTGTGCTGCCAGACTTCCAAATGTGGATTCTGGTTCTCTCGCTCACCGCATACTAACGAGTATGATTCTCTTCGTTGCAGTGCCATTAATTTGTCTTGTTCCCAGTGCGGTGATCAATCCCAACAGAGTTTCTACGTCTTTTTTCTAGACCGTTATTCTTCTCTGAAGCAAGTCGATCTCGGTCACCACATACTAATCATCAATCTCAGTCTTTCAATCTTTAAGGTTAAATCTTTTGTTGAAAGAGGTGGAGGGTAAAATTGGATTTTAAAAGAAAATCATATACCACATGCAAATGAATTTTGACAAAATATTAACGGACCTTAACGGTAAGGGTAGAGTTAGTCAATTGTCATAAACAGTAGAGGGAGGGTTAGTCAATTTTCATACAGTAAGGGTACACTTAGTCAATTAGTTAAATCATAAGGGTAGTTTAAGGAATTTACCCATTTATTTATTTGTGTCTATTGCATTTCTCATTTGATAGAAATCACATGGTGTTGGTTCAAGAATGACAAACATTCTTAATCTTAATTAGTTAGATACCACATGTCAACCATATACAATAAATTATGGCACCATTGAGTTACTAAATACCCAAGATCTTAATCAGTTTGCTACTCAGAGACCCATTAGCATGACAAAATTGTTGCAAGTTTTGATAGCTTCAGGTACATTTGGAAATCAAACAAGTCAAATATGGAGTTCAACATAAAACGACAATAAAATAAAACGAGTGATTTGCTTTTTTAAAGTCTTCAACATTTTGTTATTTATTATAGGAAAATATTATAAATGCACCCCAATGGTATTTCGATATAAATTTGGATCACGAATGCCATCCAACATCTCAAGATAGACAATAAGACCATGACATCTCAAGATAGACTGGAAATTATACTAAAAGCAAGGTTTTTAAAATCAAACCAGAGAATGAACCAATCAGGGGTCCGATTCTTGAGTTGAATGGTCCAACCGTTTGAACTGAATGGGCAGCTCGTTTTGACAAAAAAATAAAATAAAATAACAGCCTAAATCATTGGATGGTTCGAACAGTTCGATCGCTCGAGTCAACAATTTACTAACTAAATCAACGGTTTTTGGCGAAATAACGATTCTGGGGTAAAACGGAACCGGTCACCTGACCGGTTCTCGGTTTTTTTGGTCCAACTGCCCGGGCCAGTCTGGTTTTGAAAACAATGTTAAAAAGAAATTTGTGCCACTATCACAATAATAGCCTATAATTTATTAGCATGGATCTAATCACCTATGTAAAATTTGTGCACCAATGCATGGATCTCACTTAAACAAATCATCTATATAAAATATTAGCATGAACTTGCCTTCAGCAACCATATGATCTATATGGTGCATAGAGTCAAAGCTTTGCATAGTCCAAATAAAAGGCAAAAGTAGACAGTTATGCCCATAAGTTCTTGCTGATTCCTAATGGTATTTACAATTCTTGGATTATTTTCACAATCTGTCTTATGAAACAGTAAAATCTTGTATTTTGTATTATTTTGTATGTATTTGTATTTGTACTCTTTCCAAACTAAGCCTTAGCATTTTCCCCCTTTTACTACAAAGAATGCTTCCCACCTATTGAATTTGTGGATGGAAATAGGAAATGGGTCTGGAGCTTATAGAGAGAACTACCGCAATTGGAGCTTATAGAAAAAACCAAGCAACTAAGGTAGGCTTGTTTCAAAGCCAACTACAAGAAGAGAAGGTCCTTGGCCGCTACTGCCGCTGCAACAACTCAACTTTCTTGAAGAAACAATACAAAGTTTTGAGTAATACATGTAGCATGAATATGTAATGAGGATCAGATATTGAAACATCACAGAATGTTTTTAGACATGGCCTGAATAATTCCAGATTTTTACTCATTTTTCTCCAACGTTTTCATGATTACGAATAAAAACTGTCAACCTATGTAGATTCTTGAACGGTTTGGCTTGCCAAGGATTTTACAGGGGATTCTTGAACCGTTTGGCTTGCCAACGTTTTCATGATTACAAATAAAAACTCCTCTTTGATTGCTTGATACGTTACAGGGAACATTGCTTGATCCGTCCCAGATTATTCCAATTTTGAAACTCCTCTAACAACACCCAGCAAAAGACAACTAATTATTAATATCAAGCATGCAATCAGCCATTATAAGCTATATTATCAATATACATTTCACCAACATATCATCGATCAATACCATTTGAGCTCACATACTAAACCACGCAAAGGAGGATATCTAATGTGTATGGATGATAAATGATACAAAACCAAAAAAGAAGACTAATTAATGGAACCAGCTAAATTTCTGAAGTTTAAACCCACAAAGGCAAATGGCAACAAGGTTAATATCACTAAAACAATACAGGGAGTGTTGGATGTTGATGGAGGAAGTAGTGTCCCTTTAAACTTTAAAGTAGTGAGTGGTGAGTTATTTCGACATGGTCTGCAATACAGGGAGGAGACCTACCAGTATAAAAAGACTGTTCTACCAGTATAAAAATTGTAATGTGCATTGCCATGATTTTGCTATTATATTTTATCTACAGTTTTAGAGGAGCAAAACAAACATATTTCCAAGATTCAATTTCAAGCTTTTGTTTATAAAAGTAAATGGCCAAACAAGATTCAATTTCAAGGATTACAGGCTTACAACTCAACAAAATGAGTTCCCCATCATCTATACCAACCCAAATCAAATGAGTTCCCCATTACAGCACTACTGACCGCCGGTGACAAGAAACTGGCTCCACACAACACTCATATAAACCAACTCAAACCCAGATCAAATGAGTTCCCCATTACAGCACTGCTGACCGCCAGTCACAAGCATCTGGCTCCACACACCACTCGTGTAAATCAACCCAGATCAAATCCTGTACGGAAAATCAAAAATAGGGTAATATGAGTTAGGGATTGGGGAGATTACATTTGTTCCGGACCTTCAATCTATTGAGAAGAGAAGAGCAAAAATAACATTAGACAGAATGCTGGATTTCTTGCTATCGTTCCACAGTCAAGAACACCAGTGTGTGGTGAGTGGCTGGCGGAATGCTCGGGTTAGGGCTAGGAGGAGATGAGGACAGGAGATGGGGAGGGGAGATTTTGAATGACCTTAAACTATGAAAGAAGCCTTGTTTTTAAGTTTTGTCTTTTTGCAGGTGGTTCAACCGGGTTTGTTCAGCTAACGGCTTAACACCCATTAAAATTAGTGTTTTTTCGAATTATCGATGTGATCGCCTCTCATTGGCAGGTTCACAGGATGCAAACTCTATTAGGAATATCTTCGTACTAGTAAGCTTATAGTCATGGAGAGATATTTCCAATGCGCAGCTGCAAGTAGCTGTGAGTACGGTGTGATCACTGTTTTGTGAAGACGGAACCTGATCTCCAAATAGCATACCTAAGAAAGTAGTAGTCCATGGATTCATCTAACATCTGATCTGATCGAGGAAAAAAATCTGGAAAGGATCCTGATTGAAAGCGACTAGAAAATGTGTATCAATACCAATTTATGCTAAAAGTAATATTGACTTTCAAATCAGGTTAACAATACCACAATAAAAAACGATTTGTCACCGGATTTGTTCTTGTGATAGACAGAAAATAAGGGGATGTTTGGAACCATGGCCGTTTTTCAAAAAAAATGGTGCCACATCAGATCCACATAGGCGTTTCAGCAAACACCCATGTATCTCATTGTTTGGTTCAGCCAATTATTAAAAAATCGGGCATGCCTCGAAAATCAGGAACCCACTGATGCATCGGTGAACCATTTCTTCTAACGGTTGACTGATGTGTATCCTATGTGATGTTTACCTGTCAGCACATACATGAAAAACGGTGATGAAAATCACCTTACCAAACAGCATAGTGCTGCTCACTGCTTATACATGGCAGAAGCGTTTTTTTTTTTTTTTTGTGTAAAAAACGGGTCTTAGAAGCATGGGCGTTTTTTCTTGAAAATCGGTTCCAAAAAGCACCACGCTTCCAAACACCATGCAAGTTATTTTGTATGAAACAACCATTTACAGATGCTAACTTACCAAGTACTTGTGGTTGTGGAAGAATGAAGAACTGAGGAAACCTCAAACTAGTTGCACGGTTGTAACATTTAAAATAAGTTTTACTACCCTTCCAATCTCATTGTTGTGAAGCTAGTAAAAACTGGGTCCAACTCAAAAAATTATGAATTTACAGTTTGTACAAACTCTGGAGTATGGAGTGAGAAACAATTCCAGCCTCATATAGCAAAAATTCAAATATCCATTAAATAGATTTGTTCCTGTGGCTTGGTCCAAGGTCCTCTTACCAGCATCTTCCCAGAACCAGGTGGTCAACATCTTTCATTACATGGCAGATACTCAAGAGTTCATCAAAAGTCAGAGAAGACCATCAGACCCTCCACTCAGTAATTTTGTTCCCAATTCTCTCCTCGGCTTACACGAGAGCCCTCTTTCCATCATCTCTTCATCATACTTCCTAGCCATCTCAATCATACCCTTCTGCACCAATGCATCAATCAGAGCATTGTAAGCACAAGCATCTGGGGTGCATCCATGTTCCTTCATCTTGTCCCAAACAAGGAAGACAGGCCGTAGAAAGCCCCATCTTCCAAATTTTGACATAAGCATCACGTAAGTGTCCATTCTAGGGCGGACCCCACCCTTAATCATGATGTCAAACAGTTTAAGAATCTCCTTAGGCCTATTAAGGCTCCCAAAGAAACAGTGATATGTAATAACATTAGGGACACAACCCTTCTTAGGCATTTGGTCGAGTAGTTTATAGGCTTCCCTTATTCTTCCAGATTGGCACAGAAGCTTTATGATTGTATTGTATGTCACAACATTTGGATTGCATCCCAAATCCAACATCTCACGGTAGAGCCGCATTGCAACATCAACACCATCCGAGAGACCCATGGCATGAATCACTGTGTTATACGCCACCACATCCAATTCAATCCCCCTCTTCTTCATCTCTTTATACAATTTAACTGTCTTCCATGGTTTCCCTGACTTGCAAAGAATATCCATGTAAATAGAATACGAATGAAGATCACAATCAATACCCTTTCGATCCATCTCTTCCCAGAACTCTCTGCACTTACTCCACCAACCCATTTTAAACCACCCTCGTAGAATCATGTTATACACTTTTGTGTTGGCTGTGAAAGGTGAATTCTTTCCCATACACAACTCCTCAGCTTCAATTACGTGCTTGTACTCACAAAGTGCATCAATAAGATTCAGAAATGCAGTTTCATCCTTCAAATTGAACTCTTGCATCCGATTATAAGTATTAATTGATTCTTCAACCATGTGCGCCGAGACATACCGCTTGAACATTATCCGAAACGTAGAATGATCAGGTGAAGAAAATCCATTTCCATTTCCATCACCAGCCATTCTTTTAATTAAGTCCCAAGCAAGCTCAAACTCGAAGAATTTCCCCAGAATGTCTATCATTCGGTTATAGGTATCGGTGTTGTGTTGGAACCGGCACTCATTTTCAACCCAATTGAAGAATTCCAGAGCGCGTTTCCAATCGTTTCCATAGCTGGAAATGGTTTCTCCAACTGTTTTGTGATCAAACTCGACTAAATCATGTGCAACGGAGGGCTTGTTTTTTGAACTCTTCCTGGAAACCTTAGTAGAACCCGGTCTCGCCGACCTCGAAACATCAGAGTCATAAACAGATCTCCATTTTTTTACCTGGGTTTCGTCTGAACTGGAGAACTGGCCGACTGAAGGAGTTGTGTGGAAGTTGAGGAAAACTTGAATGCGATAAAAAAGAGATTGAGAGATACGGAAAGAACATCGGCATCCGTTTAAAGGTCTAAAGATCATTTCAGAGTCTAAAGACAAAGTGCATAAAACAAAAACAAAGAAAGAGAAACTGAAGAAAAAAAGAGGCAAAGGAATAAGAACTTGAGAATCGATCTTCTGCAGATCAATGGAATATACAGAAACACAGTCTAAGAATGGGTTAGCTAAGCTTAGGTGTGCTTACTCTCGATAGTCTCGCATGATGGAACTGGTTTCTCGACTCAATTGTTTTTGTTTGGCAAGAATCAAGACCTTTTTCTTCTAAAGCGGCTTTCCTGCAGGCTCACATCAGTATTCTGGAAGAGAAGCCTTGGAAGCTTGGACGATGAGTTGAGGGTTCAGTTTAGAGAAGCTAACTGCCTCTCTGCCTTGGAGCTTCCATTCCTTGCTCCACCCTTCTAGAGATTGGAGCGCAGATGCCAATTCTTGGAAAAATGAACACTCAAGTCTTCTCTGTTCATTCTCTCTCCTACTGATATAGGTTTTTCTCCCCGCTGCTCTTCTTCTCCCGTACCCTTTTGCGACAATAGCGCATAATAATGTGGGCAGGGGTAGGGATGTGGTGACAATCTGTGGGTAGCAGATCCGGAACGGGGATGAATTCACATCAGCGCCCCACAATACAGTCCAACCGTGTATTGGAAACGAGATCGGCTTCAATCGGTGCAAGGCGCGTTCGAACAACCTTTATAGCCTTGCATCGGGAACATTTCGATATTTCTATGTTTTATTTTATGGAGAGATGTTCCCAATGCAAGGCAATGATGGTTGTTTGAACGGGCTTTGCACTGACTGAATCTCATTTCATTGGGAACATGACAAATATGAGAGATGATGAGACATCATCCGAAGATATTCCTAATATATGGTTGGAATGTGTTATGGGGTGCCTTGGGGTGTGTGACCTCCACAACGGGGTAGTCTATCCCCCAACCCAATACATGTGGGATTGAATCTCAAATCTCCATTACAACCAACAAAGAGACCTTACCAACTAGTTGATTGACACCTTGCAAGATCAATGACCCTGTACAAGCAGAATAGGGGCCTAGATGTATGTCCCATCCATTGCTCCAATGCAGTCCTGTGATTCATTGAAAAGTTTTATATCAACCTTTATTTGTATACCACCTAATATATCAAACAAAACATTAATAATGGTGATTGTTACCCTAAAATAAGGCCAACAATATGTTACATCCCTAATCTCTGGTGTAACTTCATCTCTTGTTTGGATTAGAAACTCATCCTCTAGACTTAACACTGCATTAAGAACTTGATTGAAGTGGCTGCTCACAATCTCCCTAAATCAACTAAAATAGAATCTTATGGTTTAGTTTCTCACATTATGGACAAGGATATGTTCTTCAACAATACTCCATGTAACTTACAAGACTCATTAAGTATCTTTACTAGCGTTACAAATGACTTTCTCTCCCCATTCTAAGCTAATTATAGCAATCAATTTCCTTTATATGATAAAGGTGCTTTAATAAATTTTTATACATCTCGGCTAATGGGTGGTTCTCTATCAATATAATTCAAATGTTCATCTATTAAGGCAATGTATATTGCAATAGCAACAAAAGCAATACCAACAATTGCAATCAATCATCCAAGTTATCCATCTAAATCAAATTCAATAAGAAAAAAATTCCATATTTCCAACAAAAACAATATAAAGACTAACTTACATCCAATAAAACATTATTTTTAACAAACTCAATAAGTATCTAAAGAAAGAAGAAGAAGCAGTTTTCTTGCTCACATTCAACCATTCTTGTATTACATTAATACAATATAATCAGTTTGAGGTAATGAGATTTCGACACAACTTTTTTATCATTAACAAAAATTTTATTTATTTATGAGAAAAGAGTGTTAAATACAATACCATGGTTTTAAAAAGTGACCTGAAAATGGAAACGTTCTGGCCATCGGTTTTTGGGTTGATGATCCGACCATCTGGTTCAAACGGGCAGCCCATTCAAACAAAAAATTAAAAAATAATTAAAAATAAAAAATGGCCAAAACTGTTGAACAAGTTGATAGGTCGATTGTTCGACCACCTGGGTCAACATGTTATTGACTTTTTCAATGATTTTTTATCAAGGACCAAGTTTGGGATAAAACAAAACCGATTGCCTAAACGATTCCCAAGCCAAACGGCCCGACCATCCAAATCAATGACGATTCAAATAAAACCATGTACAATACGATCTAGTTGTATCCCTGGTTTTGGCCTAGCCATATGCTACCCAACTAGTGGACACAACCAAGTTATATGTAAATAGATGTTGCTTCCTCACAAATTGATGACTATCAACTTCCGGTTGGTAGAGAATAATTTAGTGGGCTTTAATGGAAGTGTTAAAAGTGAGATTAATATTACTTTTGCATTTTTAAACTCGAAAGTCTGGATACAACTAGAATATGAAACTTTAATAATTAATTGTATCCATGTGTCATTGTTACAAATAAATGATGAATTCTCATTTTATATCTCTACCTATCTAATAGAATTATGTTGGTAATGATCTTCATTTCCTTTCCTTTCCCTTCTCTTTTTTTTCTTCGAACCAAACATAGTCTTATTGTTTAAGATAATCTTTATACATAGTGACTTTCTATTTTCAGCCGCTCTAACTTCCCTGAAGTAATAAACCCATAACCACTATTATGGGCCAAACCAGCCCATAGTCCCAAATCTTGACCCACACACAGCAACTAGTTGAGGTGCGCCGGTTCAACAATCTGGACTATCCATCATAATGTTGTCAGAGTCCTACTTGACTTAGAATGGTTTTGGTTGGGTCACTGGTTGAAAGATCAACCATATGGTTTGACCATTCAGGTTAGGAATAAAAAATACAAAAAATTCAAAATTAAAAAAAAAAAAAAGTTTCATGTTGTCTTCTAGGCCCATTTTACAACAAAATAAGCATAAAAAATAAATATTAGAGGTAATAAAATATTTAAACATGTATTTGGGATATAATTGACCCAATGAATATTTCTAAAAGACTAAGGGCTTGTTTGTTTGCTCCGAATTCTGAAGTCTGGATGTCTTTAAAACTGTAATAATTATGAAAAGTTTAAATGCAGATAATAAAATATTTCTTGGTTCTAAAGTCTAAATGCAGATAATGTTGTTCTGAACTTTAAATGCTAAATTATGAAAAGTATCAAATAGCCATTTTAACATTCGATATGAAAAGTTTGTTTAATTATTTAACAAATTAATTAATAATCAATTAAATGAATATAAAATCATTAATAATAGTGGAATTGACAAAATTTGTAAATTATTAAATACCTTTAAAAAATTGAGCATTTTTTAATTAATTAATAAGTAATAAATTCTTACATAATTATTAATTAAAGTAACTAATTAATGATTAATAATATATAATTTATAATTATTATTATTCCATTAATTAAGTAATTAGTACTAACTATTTAAATGATAATTTTTAAAAACTACTTCATTATTATTATTTTGTAGGGCAATCATAGCATGCATAAAAAGAGCAACCTTTTGGGGGCACTCTTGGAAAACAAAATTAAGCATTATGGCTATTATACATGATGTACAGAACATTAAGTCTGAAATAAAATGAGAACCAACACTCTTAATACCTCTTTAAGTAATTAAGAGATAAAGAGATATTAAGACAAGTGTACAGGCCCTAAGAACCATGCAACCAAAAAAACATTGGGACTATTGGTTCCCAATTTGAATGGTTTGACCGCCTGGTCCAATCTAATCCTAACAAGTAACAACACTGATCCATCTAGCTAATACCTGTTGAGATACCCTTGGTAAAATTTCAACATTCATGACTAATGGATCAATGGAAATTGAAAATTGTGAGAGGATAGAAAGTGATTATTGGGCTATCTGTTTTATATATAGTTAAGCTGAAAGGATTCTAATTGGTGGTAAAATGAGAGAAAGCAAATTGAGATGGTTTGATCATATACATAGAAAACCAATTATAATAACTGGTAGAAAAAAGTGATCTTTTACAAGGTGAAGGAACTAGAAGAGCTAAGGGTGGATGTAAAAAGAAATTATTTAAGTGCCCGATTCTTTAACAATGGATATGGCATTGAACAAAACGGAATGGCAAAACAAGATTCATGTAGTCAACTCCATATAGTTGGTACTAATGATATCTATATTTAGCATTTCTTCCTGGGAGTAGAGGTGTCAATTGGACTAGATTTGGTCCAACCCGATCCAGTCCAATGCGAGTCCACTTACAAATGGACTAGACCCAATCCAGTCCAAATCCAATCTAATCCATGAAAATGTAAACGGATTGGATTGGGTCCAATATAAATCGAATGAAATATCAAAAATTATATAAAAAAAACAAAACATATAAAAATACAAAAATATATTAAGATGAAGAAAATCTGAAAATTACAAAAATATACCCTTTTGGCATTGAAAAACACTTTTTCAAAAGTGATTTCATAAAAGTACTTTTATAAAAGTACTTCCGTAGAAGTACTTTCATATAAGTGCTTTTGTAAAAGTACTTTCATAGAAGTGCTTTTATAAAAGTGCTTTCGTAAAGTATTTTTGTAAAGATGCTTTCATAAAAATACTTTTATAAAAGCATATAAGTGCTTTTGTAAGTTATTTCATAAGTGTTTAAAAAAGTGCTTTCGTAAAAGTGCTTTTATAAAAGTACTTCCATAAAAGTTCTTTTGTAAAAGTGATTTCATAAAAGTGCTTGTGTAAAAGTACTTTTATAAAAGTGTCTTCATAAAAGTACATATGTAAAAGTACTTTTATTAAAGTGATTTCGTAAAAGTGCTTTTATAAAATTACTTTTGTAAAAGTACTTTTCATAAAAGTATTTTCGTAAAAATACTTTCATAAAATGATTTTATGTTGGCTTCAATTTTGATCGATTTCAAATTGGACAAGAGTTTGGCCTCATGATCAGATTATTGGAAAGTTGGTTTGGATCCAATTCAGACCAATAAGAATATGGACCAATTTATTTTGGATTGGCCCAATCTAATAATTATAATGGACCATTCATATCCAATTTGATAAGGTTTAGATCGGATTGGGTCCAATCCAAAACCAATCGATTGACACCCCTACCGCGTGGGGGGGAGGGGGGGCTCCAATGACCGATTCTGTTTTTTATAATGATATCTTTCCCTCCCTTCTACATCACTATTGATTTATTTCTACTTAAATAGGTACATAGTCTATATTACAGTGTATACATTTTTAAAACAAAAAGATCATCTTCTGTAAATACATAGTACATAGTTGTAGCTATATTATAAAGGTCAAACAGGCATGGATTGGGTTCGAACAAGATCTAGCTACTGAATGGTTGAATAAGGTCAAACCAAAATCAGATACAATTCAAGGTCTGTTTGGTTTGCAGTTGGAATCAGATTTAGAATTAAAATCCATTGAAATCAGAATTAGAATGGTCTATTCCCCCCACCTATTTGGTTCAGAGGGGAACCGGGGATGGCTGGAATTGGATTCTCATTCCCGAGGGGGAGGGAATGGTCATTCCCTTAAATGAGAGAATGTCATTGTGGAATGATAGTCAGATTCCAATTCTGTCCAACCAAACAGTTGAATCAGAATGGCCCATTACGATTCCAATTCCAGAACGCTGTTATGAATCAAACAGACCCGACCCTCGGTTCAATAAAAACAGACCAGTTCTTGAAGTCTAGATATTCAAGCATTAGAAAAGGCTCCAATCCAGTTTGATGAAGACTGGTCAGTTCTGGCCGTTTTAATGTTGATATCTGTAGTTGAAGTGTTAAAACTGAGAAATTTAACCAAGCCCCTTTTTAGATGCCCTGTCTGGGTTTCAAAAACATTGTCGTTTTACAGTTTAAGAGATCGGATTCCTCCTAAGCAAACCACGTTTTCCCAAACAGTCAGCCTCCTTGCATGCCTAAAACTAATAAAATTTCAAAGGCTCAATGAGTGACTGATAAAGCGGCCATTTACTTCTCTCAGATATATCAGTTCTAGTGAATCAGCACTTGTGTAAAAAACTGCATCACCACTTAAGAGATGTAATGGGGAGTTCCAACTCTGATACCGATCAACTAGGAGATGAAAACATGTCGATCCACTCCTTGAATACCCCGAAATGATCGAGATCGATGTGTTTTCATCTCTCGTGTGATATCACACATCAGAGAGTGATCATCTAATTCTATCACACATCTAATTCCATGGATAGAAAATCCTCTGGTTGTCGAATATTTGATCATCTAGTCCACATCGTCACATTACCCCACCCTGTTTGGTCTTTTGTGTACCCCACATAGCCTCCCCAAGTTTCTAACTTTCGATTTTAAATCCTTATACTCATAGTGCAAGGCTTATTCTGATTTTGGGTTGAAATTTTCCGCTTAGCCTTTTAGCACAGAGGTGGCAGGAGGAACAAAGGGCTGATACATGTCGAGTAGAGAGAGAGAGAGAGGAATTAGTAATATCTATTATTTCAAAACGACAATGTCCAACATTCTCTGTAGAAACAAAATACAGCAAGACATTTTCATGGAAATTCAGGCTCAAACATCTCTTTAGCCAATGTTGGAAGGAAGTTATGGTTCATCTAAAATTTTAAGAGAAGAAAAAACAAAGGGTGAAAGATCTTAAGCCGTATATCACATTCACAGATGTATTCCTATAGAGGATTTGAACTCCAGTATTCAATGATAAAACCATTAATCACAAACTAGGACCTGCACTTTGGTGCCTTCTCAGATCCTACATGGTGAATAGCCATAAAATGCACTTTCATCAGTCAGTTTCCATGCACAATTAGACAGTCCTGACCAACAAAACTTTCATTCATATGTCCGCTTCCTCTTCAGGATGGTTGGTAATATAGAGACGGTTCCTATCAGGAAGAGCACTGCCAGAGTCTTAAAATCATATAGATCCCTGACTGACTTCAGATCCCCCAGAGCAAGGCCAGCCTGATGGAAGAAACCAAGAAAAAAAATGCAGGTTATTTCCCTAGTTTCATAGAATTTAAAATCTATTGCTTTGAATATTTCAAAAAAAATATAAGTGGAGCCCCTTTTGGCCTGTTATTTTTAATGTGAGAGAAAGTAATTGCAGATAAAAGAAGAAACCTCTTCCATGCTTCTTTCTCCTTTCTCGACCTTCTGGACCTTTTATGTCATAATACATACATATATTAACAAATTAATAATATTGCAATGAAGCACCTGCCTTGCATGGTTAACCGCACCTCACCAAGGTGACGCCATGACAAATTTGAGATTTAACCATGCAATTTGTTCAACAATCAAATTAGCTGATTTGAGAACCCAAAAAAAAATGATGCATTAGGTTTCCATATCATTCAGCTTCATGATATGGATATGATTCAGATGGTAGGAAATGAAATGTTTCATACTCCTTTCCTTGAGAGAGGACCAATGTAGATTTTGGAAAAAAAAAATAAGGAGCAAGGAGGAGCAAGGGGATTGGGAATAGGTAATTTTGGGGAAAAAAAGAATATAGCTCTGCTGCATAAGTGGTTGTGGAGGTGGCCACTGGAGAGGGAGAGACTCTAGCATGAGGTGGTGAAAGTGTTCATGGGCAAGCTGGCAATGGTTGGGATTATGGCATCTCAGCAGGTTATCTGGCTTCTCCTTGGAAAGCCCCCATGGTATTCTCCAGTTCTTAAGCCTCATAAGATATGTTGCATGTACAGGAAACAAGGTTTTGTTCTGGGAAGATCCAGAACCTCTCTCTCTCTCTCTCTCCAAGAACAAACCTATCTAATGTTTCCCTTCCTTCTCCCCTTAAACTAGTGTTAGTTGGGATTTAGGCTTGAGAAAAGGACTGAGGGACCATGAGTTTGATCATGCCTTGCTCCTAAAAAATCTTTTTGACTCTTTTTTTTTGGATCCTTATCAAATAGTCAGGTTTGGACTCCACACCCTAAGGACATCTTCTCTTGTGCTTCTTTTCTCTCCTTCTTGTACTCAAATTCTTCTGCCCCTGTCTTGCCATCTAAAGAAGTTTGGTCCAAGCCTATCCCACCCAAGGTAGGATAGTGAGAGTTGTTACCATCTAATAATCTCCGCACCCTAAGGACATCTAAAGAAGTTTGTATTTCCCTGAGTTGGTGTACTATTTTCAAGGCTAATAGTGAGAGTTGTTACCATCTAATAATCTCTTGCCCATAGTTGTCAAGGCGATGCCTAGGCGACAAGATGCCCTTTGAAGCTCGCCTCACCTAATCGCCAAGCAGTTTTCTACTTCCTTCTATAAAATACTTTTTTATTCATTCTTTTTTGAGATTATAATTATAAAATATACATTATTAAACTAAAATAATCATTTTGTGTGTTTATATACTAATTTCTTTTTATTATTTTCTTATTTATTAGGGTTTAATCAACACAAACATTGCTGAATACTGTATTGAACCCTCAAAGACTTAAAAACCTGAACCAATAAGGAAGAACTTGATATTTTATCTAATCAGCACATTTTCCTCTTCCATATATTCTTCTTCTTCTACTACTACTACTACTACCAATACATTTTATTTTCTTCTTTTCCTATAACAGAAATAAGGGTTCACCCCTATATTTTTTGAATTTTATTTTCCTTCTTCCTTTTCTTCTCATGAATATGTTGATTTCCTATACTTTAATATGAAATTTATACTTTTCTTATGAAAATCATGAATAATTATTAAAGAAATATGGTTATGGTACCTAGGGAACTACCCTAGGATCTATGTTTTTAACATAAAAAAATCCATCGCCTAGGCGACAAGGCACCCCCCCAGTCGCCTAGCCTCGCCCTGGCGCCTTGAAAACTATGCTCTTGCCCTGTTGTTGCAGGCTTTTGGGAAAGATTATTTGCACTATTCGGATGCAGGTCGACTATGCCCTTGCAGATCAGCAGTGTATTCAATTCAACCCTGTAACCTTCAGATAGCTAAGAGAAAGGATAGGATCCTGCGGAGATGTGCTAGGATGCTTTGGTATGGACAGTTTGGAAAGAGAAATACTAGAATATTTAATGACAAGGAAAGGGATGAAGAGGCTACTTGGGACTACATTGTAAGTAGGGCTATCCACTGGGTCAAAACTCTGGATCTTTTTCCTTTTTCTCCTTTGATGATATTTGAAGGAATTGGGGAGCTGTAGCAAGAAGCTCAGAAATAAAGATAAAGCCCTTTGTGGAAGGAGTCCGAAAAGCTAAGGAGTTGAACATCAAGAAACTCATAATTGAAGGGGATTCAGAGGTGGTGATAGGATGGCTGTCTAAAGATCAAAATGGGTTATGAAAGTATAACAATGAGAGGAGGAAATTCATGTGGCTGGTGCGGGAGATGGAAGTTAAGACATGTTGGGTTAAAAGATCGGCTAATTCCCTAGCTGACGGTTTAGCTAAACAAGGGGCAGAAAGGAATTCACTGTTTTGGGCCAAGACGTAACTTTAGTGTATTCTTTTCTCTTTTTCTTCTTTTTCTTTCTTTTATGAGGCTCTTAGTGACTCTTGGAAGATAAGTGTGTTTATCTTCCTCCTGTAAATTTTCTACTGATGATTAATGAAAGTGTTATTGATCAAAAAAAAAAAAAAGATAAAGCCTTTTATAGTTTAGGTACCTCCTGAAGAAGGTTTCGTTAAGCTTAATTTTGGTTCTAGCAGCCTGGGAAATCTAGGGCCCTCAAGAATAGGGGGTGTTTTTGGAAATGCAGGTGGCTGTATAGTTGCTTTATTCTCAGGTCCTGTAGGTGAGGGAGACCGTATCCAAGCTGAGTTTCAAGCTGTTTTGCAGGGGAGACACTTTGCTAGAGATATGAACATTGATAGATTACTAATTGAGGGGGATTTGAAGTTGATAATTGAGTGGCTAAGGAATCCAGACACTGTTGTTTAGACCTACAAGGAAGCTATGAAAAGGTTTAAATGGTTGATCTCCAATATGACAATAAGAATTAAGTGGGAAAGGAGATCGACTAATGGGATAGCTGACTATTTAGCTAAGCAAGGGGTGCATAGGGATCATCTGTTTTGGGCTCATTTGTAATATATTGTTGTATTTGAGGCAGCACATCATGCCTCTCTATGGGAAGAAGCTCATTGTATAAGTTGTTTTTACTGATTTCTTAATAAAACTTTCTATTACTTAAAGGAAAAACCACAATGCTGCAAAAACTAAAAATGGATTTCTTTTATCAGTACCTAAATCTATAAAGTTTAGAGGTTATCAATCTTTTTATGTATCGAAGTCCATATTTTATTTTTAAAGTAATGAAGTATAAAATAACAAATTTTGTATAAAATTACTGAAAAAAGGTATGTATACATTTATTTTTTTCAAAAACAAAAATACAAATTGTCATTGTACATTTCATTATTTTAGAAATAAATCTGCTTAATTCCATAGCTTCTTGATTCATACAAAACATGAGTGAATCATTATACCCTTCAATAGTTGGTTCTTTCTTTTGTGCTCCAGAATTTCCAAGCCTAATTTTTGCTTTCACTTATGTATACTCCTGGTTTAATTCTAATATAGTCTTTTTTGCTTTCTCTTTTCTGTATGTTTGCACAAATAAGAACTGCATGCATTCATAATTGTTGTGTTATATGTTTAACAGTGCCACAACAACTTGATTTGCTACATCAACCATGCTCTGAAAATTCAAGTACTCTAATGTGCAATGACTAGTCTAGTCAAATGACAGATGTAGAATGAATAGTAAAACTTACTTTTACAGTAATATATGATGCTGGAATAAGACCAATCAGTGTTGCAAGCAAGAAAATATGAAAAGGTATATCGACTATCGGGGATGCCAAATTAATAAATGTGTTGGGCAAGGTTGGAGTTATCCTCAAAAAAAGCATGTAATTCAGCAGCTTTTCTCTACGTTTTGCAATCTGTCCAAAAAAAACGAAGTAGGTATAAATGGTATCCAACATACAGTCAGAGGGACACATTTTAAGGAGAAAAATAAGTACAGAAGCAATTTAAAATAGTAAACAACATTTACTGGTGTTGAAGAAATCCCAAAGGAATACCTCTGCCTGGAAAAATCTCAACCTTTCAGGCCACATCCAGGTAACCAAAGGCCTCCCAAATAACTTAGATAGGAAATAGCAGGATGATGCCCCTGCTGTGGCATTGAAAACAACCAAGACCAGGCCTCTGGCAACACCAAAAAGAGCTCCAGCTAGCAATGACATGAATATCGTGCCAGGAATCATAAATGTTTGCATGAAGATGTAAGTTGAGCAGTAACCTAGAATAAATTGTGCTTGGTATTCGTGTGCATATGTTGCAATATTATCTCTGTGACAATAATCAGAAACAAATATCAGGAAAAGCAATGCAATTAAACATTCATGCAAAGAAAGTATACATGGTTTATAGTTAAAAAGAGTAACTTAATAAATCACAAATGTAGTTTTAGGAGACTATAAAAGACAAGTACATTACCAATCACCAATGAGTTGGATCCTCTAGAAGCACTATGAATAAAAGTAGATTATTTCCAGAAGCATTTTTATTCGTTAAATGACAAAAATACCCCTACTGTCCAAAAAAATAGAAATACATAAAAATTAAAAAAAAAAATCTAACTTTGACTCTTCAGCTCCTACATCTGGTAGATTTCACTTAATTAAATGCACCAATCTTGTAATGATCCATGAATCATTGATCAGGGAACATGGTGGACTAGGGAAGCTTGAGTATCTCCATCAACTAAGAATAACAGCCATCACAGAACAATCAATTTTCTAGGTTGTGACAAAGATCAGACAATGGCATAGATGATAGAAATGAAAATCTACAACAACTATAGATTGTTAAATTCAGCAAGTTCTTATTGGTTTGACAAGAGACATAATGTGTCTCTAAGACACAATGATATTATCACGGTATACTTCAGTCCGACTGGAGAGAGTGACCTTATGAGCAGCAAAAATCTTGGTCTTACTCCAGGGTCTCAGATACAAGCATCACTATGCATAAAAAAAATAAATAAATAAATAAAAAAAAAACAGAAAAAGATAACAGTGCCATATAAAAGACCAATTTGGCTTATAGAGACAGTATAAGGTATAAACTTCAAATGTGTGATTGGACTTTGTGATGCATTTTCTAATGGATAATAACAGTTTACTTTTATCATCTTCAAGCCAAGGGTAAAATATTAATTAGGGTTCTTGGCTCCAATAGAATCAAATTGGAGAAGTTAAGGAGCTCATTTATAGGTTGAACAGATCATTCAGATAGGTGCCTAGATCAGCCAATTATCATTGCTTATTCTCTGGCTAGAAAGGATGAGATTAGAGATTGGGGTGCTGAGCTAGGGCCAGAGAAATAAAAGGCTCTGTTTTTCTGTTTTTGTTGGTGTGTCATCCATCCTTGGCACCTTCTTTTTCAGCAGTAGAGGATTTCTATCTCATCATCATTATCCTTTTTTTTTTGATAATTGAAAATGATTTCATTAAACAAGAGGAATAAGATTTTACAAGAATCCCTTGGAGAGGCACGAGATGCAGCCTCCCCTAACTGTTACAAGAGATCAGAAATAAAATTACAATGCTGCCCAGAATAAATGGTCCCTAGTAGACCCCTGTTTAGCAAGATGATAAGCCAAGGCATTTGCCTCCCTACCCACCCACTGATATCTACATGTTATGTGCCTTGTTAAACATTTAACTTTTTTGATGAGATCCCTATAACTCCAAACAACTGAGTCTGGATTTGGCAGCCAGCCCACAATCACCTTAGAATCCCCTTCAATTGAATAGGTTCTCCACTCCTAGTTGATTAGCAATCTGAATTCCCTGTACTGCAGCCAATATCTCAGCTCTTGTAGAGTCCCCTATCCCTATCAATCCTGAGAATAAGGATATGATGTTGCCATTTTCATTCCTCAATACTCCTCCAATGCCAGACAGTCCTGGGTTACCCTGGCTGCTTCCGTCAAAATTCAGTTTAAAAAAACCTTCTGGGGGAGTTACCCAAACTGTAGTGTCTCTGGTTTTTCTAAACGAAGTGTGTGCAACTGTAGCCCAATTACCTGAGGTTAGCTAACAGGATTTCTCTCATTAATAAATAATGATATCCTCTTGTATTGTTGTTACTGATAAAAGAAAAAGATGAAAGAACCTTATTATTGAGACACAAATTTTCTCACAAACCCACTTAATTTTAATAAGACTGCTTCCTACTGCCAATTTACAAAGTTCCTGCTCTTTGGACAAGACCTTTCCCCCTTCCCAATCCCCAGTAAGGTGCATAAATCATCATAAGTACCCATTTTTCCACACAAGGAAAAAAGAACCAATCAATAACTATAAAACAATGGGCTTCAGCATATGAGCATGTCCAGTGGAGTTATCTTGACTATTTATTGCAGAGAATGGGCTTTGGCATTAGATGGACAAGTCGGACTCACACTTGCCTCTAAACAGCTAGATTTTCGATATTAGTGAAGGGCAATCCCAGAGGCATCTCTGAAGAAGGGAGACCCGGAGAGGGCTACAGCAGTGTAACCTCTGACCATTCTTATAAATCATTGTCACAGAAACTTTAAACATGATGATTTTTCAAGCATTTAAGCTTTGCTACAGTTTGCAAATGATACAATCATCTTTTCCCATGCAATGCTTTCTGATTTGCTGTTTTTGAGATGCTTATGAATATGCTTTGAAGAAGTCTCACGATTAAATTTAAAAAAAAAAAAAAACATTCAAAAGAAAGAGCTGCTAGCTGTAGCCCATAGGTTTGGAGACGAATGATTCATAGATCATTACAAGATTGTGGCATTTAATTTAGTGGTGAACAATCAATTAATTCTTTTACATTGGAAATGAATGTAAAAGAATTAATGTTTTGGGCTGTCACTACCTAAAACAATCAATGTTCAGAATAGGAAAAAAAACAATGGAAATGAATGTAAAAGAATTAATAATTGAAGGAGACTCAAAGAATGTAATAAGTTGGTTGCAGGATAAGAAGAAAGTGCCATGGAGTTGCAGATATGAAATCAAGAAATTCAAATGGCTGTCAAAAGATATGGAATTAAAGATTTTATGATGATAAGAAGCTCCATTTGGTCTCATGGTCCCAAGTCTGTCTCCCCAAACATATGGGTGGATTGGGCTTAGATCTTTAAGGCCAAGTTTGGGAGTGCTTATGTTAAAAATAAGTGCTTAAAAACAAGTGCTAATTCGAATAAGCATTTATTTGCATTTGGCACCCAGCTTTTTCAAGTGTTTATTTTAAAAAATAAGCCCTCCCACCCTCTGTTTTGTTTTAATTTAATTTCACTTTTTTTCTTTTCCTTGCTTCTCGCTTCTCAGATAATATAATTAGGTCCATAGGTTTGGAGACGAAATCAAATGTGCAAAAATGGGACCTATCTGGAAATTTTGCATTTCTGCTAAAGCAAAGCTTTAGGCTTCCTTGGAAGGGGGTGTTTTTTATGCTTTTAATGGAATGTAAGTTAGATTTGGAGAACAAAAGCAACAGCTTTCCAGAGCTGTAACACAAGAAATCTGAAGAAATTGAAGCTCCATTGCCACCAATTTTCTGAGAAAAATGGGTCTTTGAACGAAGGTTTCTGGAACTCTGTGTTTGAATTCAGCGAACAAGGTCAAGAAAACTGAGTTTGGGTTCGTGTTCCACAGTTTGTTTCATCACACTCTTGTCTGAGAAGTTCTCCTTGTAGGTCCATTTTGGGGTTGGATTAGGTGTCCTGGAATCATGTTAACAATGGTGATGCCTTCCACCACTGCCTGTAGCTCGCTGGAAGAAATGCTGGATTCCATCCGGCGAAAGTGCCAGTTTGGGGAGCAAAAAGATGAAAGTCAACTCGCTGGTGAAAGTGGCAGTCTCTTCTTCTTATCTCTGCCAAACACAAAAATTTAGGTTTCTGCACTTGCTGGAATCAGAATTTAATTCCACAATCACAGAAGAACAGGGTCACTGGACGATTCGTCAAGCAGCATGTCGCTGTTCTGGTCTAGGAAGTCATCGGCGGTGCCACCAGCTGTGCCGTCTGTAGCCAAGAGCGGTGGCAGGCCGACTACTCCCTCATCTTGGCCTCCACCGAAGCTGTCAGTCTCACCTGCTACCTCAATCGGTCATGCCCAACGTTTTTCATATTGAAAGGGTATAACTGGTTTTCTAAAAATTGACCAGAGACAATTCTGGGAGAAAAATTGAATAAGTGGTTACTGTACAAGCACTTAAAAAAAGCTGGAATTTTGGGCTTATTCAATAAGCACTTATTTCAGACTTATCTCCCAAACGTCAATAAGTGCTTAATGGTGTGGTGATGTCCCGGCCTAAAATAAGTGCTTATTCGAATAAGCACTCCCAAACTTGGCCCAAGTCTTATGAATAAAGCACTTATGGTAAAGTGGCTATGGAGGTATGACAATGAAAGAGAGACCCTTTGGAGGACTTTAATACATGATAATTATGGTGAAACTGTCCTAGGCTGGGAAACTGCCACTGTTACCTCTTATGGCTTGAATGCATGGAAAGGTGTTATGGAAAATCAGAAGGAATTCTCTCAGGTCATCATCTTCAAGCCTGGTCATGAGGATCAGGTGAGGTTTTGGCAATGATATATGGTGTGGATCAAGGCCTGTGCCAGGCCTATCCTCAAACACTAAATGCAGCTTTGGGCATAAATGCCTTAATCAAAGATTATCTTGAGATGATGGGTGATCAAGTTGTTTGGTCACCAAAACTCAGAAGAATTATCCATGACCGGGAGATGGAAGAATCGCTGGCCTTCATGGGAGAATTAAACCAGATGCATGTACAAATAAACTCACAGGAATAGAATGGTTGAATGTTGAACACTCAGGTAATTTCATAGTTCAATCTTTCTATATGGTGCTTGCAGCTCATCACGTTGAAGACATCGCTTGGAAATGGATTTGGATAGTGGATATCTCATCCATTTTTCTGTGGACAGTTATTCTGGACAGAATCCCAACCATAGATCACTTGGTGTTCAAAGAAATGGCATTGGACAACTGTTATTGCTTGTGTGGAATGACGAAAGAATCTGTACACCACCTTTTCATACACTGAAAGGAGTCTGGAGTCCTACTCCTACAGCAATATGGATTCATTCGGGTATAAATGGACCTCCCCAAAGGACCTGGTGGCTTTGTTTTTCCTCCTGCATATTAAAAGGCTTGAGCATAAAAGGCAAGGTATGGCAATTGACTCCTGCAGCAATTTGTTGGTCTCTGTAGCTAGAGCATAATAACAGAATATTTGAAGGAAAGAAGCTGGAGACTAATGCGTTAATTGCT